GTAGTGGTAGTGGTAGTGGTAGTGGTAGTGGTAGTGGTAGTGGTAGTCGTCGTCGTAGTAGTAGTAGTAGTCGTATTGGTAGTGGTAGTGGTAGTGGTAGTAGCAGTAGTGGTAGTACTAAGTATAATCGCTGCGATTGGCTTTGGCCACGGCGCCAGTCTTATTCGATCATACTTTTAGAGATCAAATCGCAAAGGCTACCGGATAGCTTCCTCTTGCAATCAGGAACGACATCCGAACAGGCTGCGCTTGCCGAAGGCGCAATTTCCAATCAATCCACTGCAAAGGAAGAATTCACGGCATTCAAACTTGATCAACAAACCCACAGTCAACCAAGCTTTGAAAGCATTGCTTAACTGTTACAGTAAATGCAAACGAAGGCGCCGACACACGACATCCTTTCTTTCTTGGAAGCAGTTGAGGGCCGTACAAGCAGTGTTGCTACCGCCCATGTAACCGTTGCCAAATCTCTTGCCTCGAAGCCTGGCGTCTCAGGCCATTTTGGGGAAGGCAAGGGACCCGAGGCCGCAAGGGATACCGAGATTCGGGCGAGCTGCATGAAATTCAATGGACAAGGCCACGTCATGAATGAGCAGTGAATCCTGGCAGCTCTTGCAGCGAATGCAAAACTGGGGCCAACAGTCTTGCTTCACTGCCACAGCACTGAAAGTGCAGTCACGTGCTACATCCAAAGACAGCATCAGCAGAGTGGGGGCAATCTGCAAACGATTGATGACACTGTTGGAGTTTTCTGTATCTCCTGACATTCAATCTGTGCACCCAACTGCACTTCAGAAATCTTCAGAATGTTTTGGACCCGAGCGGCCGTCTCACACCGAGCAGCAGGAGCAGCAGCAGCAGCAGCAGCAGCAGCAGAAGCAGCAGGAATGCAGCAGCGATGTGATTGTCTTTAAACCTTGTTTGGTAATGTTTGGTCGATGGGGACCTCGAGTGTTCAGCGTTCAGCAAACTTCAGTGGATGCTGCCCCTTTTGGTTCAGACTCAATGGGGCAAATGCTGTAGCTGCCGAAGTCCGCGTCAGAGAGGAAATGTTTGATTACAAAGCTGTGTTGCTCCTTCCTTTCCTAGTGGACATCCTGTATAGCGTTGCTTGGACATGAGCTTCTTCCTGTCAAGGAAAATGTGCTTAACTGCAACAACCAGGTCTCAGGAGTTTCAAATTTCTTCCAACCCCTAATCATGGGTGACGGGTGCGGTAAAATGCTGTGCCCCTTTTCCGGGATAGAAAGCAGTTTCTATGGATCTAGCAATGGCCAGTGGATGTGAATACTCTCCAACTTTCCATTGAGCATTGCTCTTTATTCCCGCACATTGATTGCCTAAGAATGGAGAGGTGCCACTCTCCACTTGCGTGTTGGAGCGGGTATGAAGGCGTCCACTCTCTTGAGGCAATGTAGCTTCGCATGGACAAAAGGTATATACCGGTCTAAGAAGCGACACATTATTGTCAAAACCACAATTAAGAAGGAATGCCTTAGACACACATTCATACCAGGCCTGAATCCGGCAGGAAGCCAAACTCCAAGAAAGCTGTGAAACAGCCTTAGAGAAGTGTTGCATCGGCGCTGGAAGCACTCAACATCACCCAGACTTCGCCAGCTTGGCCAAGTCACTTTTGGACTCAATTCAGTTGACCTCCTGAAAGCCTCTCGCCCAATTGCTTCGCAGTGCTTGCTTGCCTCGATAGAAATTAGAAAGACCATACTCTTCGGTGCTCTTCCAAAAAACCGCGTCGTGTCATACGATCTTCTCGACAACACATGGCCTGCTTTGCAAAGTGCCAGGATAAAGCGACCAACGCCGGCAGCTCCTCGAAACAGCCGGGCCAAACTTGCACCCTACAAGAGCTACAACAAACCTGTAATTGTAGAGAGATGGTGGAACATGGTGCAACTCAGTAGCAAACACATTACTGCAAACATAGACCACGTATGGCTTTAGGATACAGGAGTGTTTCTGAAGATATTTTTGCAACGTATGCAGTTGTGTTAAACATCATCGCCGGGCCAAACGGCGACCATTCTTCAGAAAGGATTTCTCCAAATGTCTGGAACAAACAATTGCATTTTTTCCTCTCATTGCGTGCGTGTGACAGCGTGTGCATCATGGAGGCATTGGGCTTCGCGGTTCTACAGTAGTACCCTGCAACAATTATTGCAGACGAAATATGTTGATCTTGGGTATGCACATTCTACGCGCTCTCTCAAGCGAGATCTGCTTGGTTGGCTCAATGCGAATTTCGTAGAGTTTTGGCCAAAGTTTGCCGGTGACCTAAGAGCGCATGTAGTGTATATGTAAAGGAAGAAATTGCATACACATTTGTCTGAGGTCTCAACGAAAATACGGTCTCCGTCAGGATCCCATGCAATGCCATTAAGAACATCTGGCGCTTCCCTGCCAGCAGCTTGCGCTTCTGCAGCTGCACCTAGTCCCGCAGCCATGACAATCACACATACGCGTACAATCACTTCCACATGTTCATCAATTTTCCAACGTGTTGGTTTTGACACGAGAATCATGATTAAAGTGCGGGCATGAAGCTTCGTCTGTCCAGAATACCGTCCAGAAGCACCCAACCAGTAACAAAGCCCGATGTCTTGTCAATGCGGGCCAAGCAGTCCGTGCCATATACGTTAGCCCACAATTCGTCACCTCAGGCAAACTCACCAACCTGTCAAAATGCACAAGGAAACTGTACCCGGCCTATAATCTCCATTTCGTTGATCATTTCAATAAAACGTCCGCCATCTGTCACACTCACCTCATGAGTTTAACACAAAACACACGTTCTCTTGCAATTGATATTTTTTGAAACCTTTGGACTTTGGACCCATGCCTTTTTCTTCAAGTGGAAGTCATCTGGATCGAGAAAAAATATGTCATGGCCACTGTCCTTGCACTGCGCACAGGTGACTGAAAACCGGACAACAGTACTGGGAACTGCTACTGCCGTAATGTGTCCTGTCGTGCTTGCTGCCAAAAACACGTTCAACAAAGTAAAGTGTGCATAACACCCCCACAATTCGATGGAACTGGCAACACCCACGGAGAAATATGCAGAAACGCTTGGGAGGGCCCATTGAGATGTTTTTCCAAGAGTTCTTTGAGAGTGTGTGGTATTGTGTACAAATAGGCCAGCTGGTTCCAACCCCCTTCCAAACCTTTTTGGCTCATACATTGATTCTCAGTTGTCGCAGCCACTGAATAAAAAGTATAGACGAGTTTCCCCAATGTACTTGCATCACGTGTGTGGTGAATTAGTATTGGACAAAGCTGACTGAAGTGATGAACGGGATGGGTTTTGGAGTTCGTCAATTTGGGTTCATGGATGCGGAAGGTCGGTTTGCCGACCCGTGCAAACACAGTAGACATTTTCGGCGGCATCTCATCATCAATTCAGAAAGACAGCAATACTTTGCACAGTGTTGCGCACAGCACAGTTCTCCACAGGCTTACAGTTATTATATAGATATATAGTATAGTTTTGTAATTATCAACAAAAGAAGAATAAGCAGAATTACAGGTGTACATGATAACGCACGTGGGCGCTAAACAAAGAACTAACCTGCTCAACCTAGGGCTCTTCCGGTCACCTCCTGCACCAAAACCGTGGTCACAAGCTCTGTGCAGCGACCGTCCTTTGCCCCTCCAACCTCTTCACCACAAAGATTCTTTGGTGCTTTAAGGCTTTAAGGGCTACAGCGGCTACAGTACCATGACATTTGCAATTAGATGCAATTTAGATTTTAGAGTCAGGATGCCACAAAATTTGGATGATAGTTGCCAAAACATGTAGGCAAACTTTTGAGCTTTGAAACGGGCCCATCAAGCCCGCACAGACTTTGCTCGCAGCCTGTGTGGCCACGGCCCTGTCACCTTCTGTGGACGCAACGTGTAAAGACGTTTAGGTGCCCTCAAGTGTGCTCTCCTACTCTTGGTTTTGCGGCTGCGCAAGCGTGCGCAAGTACGAATCGGAGGCCTAAGGTGGGGCCTGAAAGGCTTGAAGACGCGTAACAAGCAGAATCTGTGGTGGGTTCTTCCGTCCTAAACCTGAGTCCTGAGTGTGCCCACTTCCCTGGTCAAAACTAAACTGCTTGGCTTAAATGACATGCTGCAGGTGCCCATGGACCTCAACCTTGACCTGAAGACCACCAAGATATCGCAGGGTAGTGGGGATGTGATGCGACGATTTCGCATGGATGGGATGGATGGACGGGGTCATACAGTCACAAGCTTCCTTGGGAATCGTTTCACTGGGAATCGTTTCACCTGTAGTAACAATAAAGCTTTTTAGGTCTTTGAAGCTTCCAAGTAAAGCTTTCTAATTAGTAATGACCAAAGCTTCCTTGGGAATCGTTCAAGGGTACCCTGATGGCAAATCCGCTGGGTGATTGCCCCATCTCCCAATTCTGCCCAGCTTCTGTCACGAGCATGTGCTCCCCGTCAAATTCTATCCTTAGAGTTTCCAGATTGGTACGAGACTTGGGCAAACAAAGTGATTAGAACGTGTGCCTTGCAGCTTTGAGAATTTTAAGCTAGGCGCCCCCAGCCATCTTTCAACGGTGTTTGAAATCTTCCGGTCTTATTCAAGCCGCCGTCTTTGCCAGCTTGGGCACTGTAGCCTTGAGTGTGTGTGTGTGCTTAACAACAGTAAACATTGACAAAAGGAACAGCAGCAAGAACAACATGCCAGCATGGCTGTTTCATGTTTTTAAAAATACAATGTTGCACCGAGTAGCGAATGCCTTTGCCTGTCTTCCACAGGAGTTGCCAAAGCTGTCCCCTGAAAGACTGAGATTGTTGGGCCTAGGAACCCTATATGTCGCAATGTTGAACGACAACTTGTCAGCAAAAAAGCTTCCTTGTTTTGTTTGCTTCGATCCCACGATCCCCTCCGATCCCTTCTTCCTTTTCGTATAAATCAATGAACATCCAACCAAGCACAGCTAAAAAGAAAGCTTCAACACAGAACTGGGGCCTCAGATTACCACAGTTTGCAATGTTCCTGAAAAGCTATGTATATCAGTGTCCATTCCGGCGAGTTTGGCTGCCTTTTGTCAACAAAGCGTCACACAGTGCGTGTTGTGCAGAGTTTTTGGCACCCTGGAGCCAAATGCTGGCTAAGTGAGTCTGTGCAAATTCACCTTGGTCCTGTTCACTAGGGAAGGAAAAAAAGGCTTTGAACACCGGGCCTTGCTCCGGAAATTACCGGGAAACATGATCATATGGTTTTGCTTCCACATCTTCGGGGCTACCCAAAAATTTATCTAAAATAGAGTTTGTAGGAATTCATATCATCTGTTCATACCACTCATAACATTTCATAACATCACATACTGTAAATTCATCATATCATATCACCTCATGTTTTATCACCAAAATCATCAACATCAACGCATTGTATAGCCTCATTCAGTTGTAGGATTCAAATCTACTCTCTCCAAAACATACGAGGAAACAGTTTTTCAACCAACTGTCAATTAAACAAATTGATGGAGCGTTTGCATGTCATTCTTTCTGGTCAAGAAACACTTATTCCTCCTTAGTTGGTATTGTTTGAACTTCCTCGCTTGTCAGCGTACTGAAAACACTCTATGAAAGAAGGACGCTTACCTAGGTGTTTGCGTCAATGCACTTGAGGGCTTTGAGAGCTTCTTCGCTTGTTGGTAATGTCTGGAGAGAGTATGTATCTATATACACATTGTTTAAACACTGGAACTGTGGTGAGCCAATGTGAATAGCTGGAAGACTTTACTTCTTTGTTTGACTTCTTTGTGGTTTGCGCCTGTGTCTCCGTCTATGCCCTTACCGGAGAAGACAAAAAGGTTTCCTTGAAGAACCCCTCTCGACCACTCCGGGCGCGGCCCCGGTGTCTCTCCGGGGAAGAGCGCCAAGAGTCTGAAAAGGTCCTCCGGTCCCCCAGAGGAATGAGCAAACGAAACCAAATTTCGACCGGTGCAACAGGTCACCGGTTCCCATTGAGGGAATAAACACAGAGACACAGGGGCAAACCACAAACAAAGAAGTCAAACCAAACCAGTATACTTTGAGTTATTTTAACATCTAATTGTTTAGTTCTTATTCTAATTTGACTTAGTTAGTGTTATTTTGGCTTTCATTTGTTTGTTTATCGTTATTCTTTAAATGTTTGTTTATTTCAACATTGACAAATTTTCTATATAATTATCCTTTATGCTATTCTAGATATTCTATTTTTTGTGTATGTGCATCTACACTCCCCAGAATCCACGCGGAAGTAAAGCTAGACACCTATCAGAATATCAGGAATTTGACTTACAAGCAAGTGTTGCACGTTTACAACATGCTCGAAGCAACCAACCAGGAAGTTCCATTTCAGCCAAACCATGAAGTTTTCTCTAGATTTCAATCTTCCTTGTTACTAGCGCTGGGGTTTAGTCACCCGGGTTTGCAGAAAGTCACCCGGCCGCATGGAAACGCAGCATTAGTCAAAAGTCACCCGGCTGGCGAAAAGTCACCCGCTTTATGTTAAAACACAATGTAAACGCTCTACGGAAGTATGTTTGTCAAAACTGCTATACATCAAGAATTCACTGCCCCTGTGCAGGAAAGAACTAGTTTTATGTCGAAGTTTGCAGCGTTTTGGTGACCGAACCCCAATCAGAACGCAAGGTTAGGACTATCGTGAAGATTAGCCCCTAAACATAGATGCTCTGGCCCGGCTCAATTGGATTTGAATGAGTCAGCGATTCCAACAGTCACCGGTCTGGCTAGATTGACTTAAACATATGAAATGAGCTGTGTAAAATCATTTTTTCGTCGGAAACATGG